CGTCGCATCCAGACGCTCATTTTCCAGGTCTGCCACACTCAGCTCGTCAGCTTGTTGCTTAATTGTAACATTTTGATTTTTGGCCGCTTGAGCCACGTTGACCATCGAAGTTTCAGATTTCGAATCTGCATCGAGATAAGCATCTTCCGCTGCTTTCTTTGCTTCTCTTACCCGTTTACTGGCGTTTCGCAGTGCATCCGCGATTTCTTTGTACGCATTTGAAGTACGCAAAGGATCGGTTGCTGCTGTTTTTGTATCCGCAAAAGAGTTGGAAAAAAGGAAGGTTTGGGAAAACATCAACGTATACTGATTTAGAGATGATGCGAGCTGACCAATTTCGATTGGTATTTCATTAAGATTCGAAGAAACGCTTCTATTACCCAGTCAGCCACTTCAGCTTATTGCTCTGAATCTTCAATAATCACTAATAATCAATTTGATAACGGCTAGTGTTACCTAACGGACTTTTTTTGTTCGATGAAAGCTACTAGGTAAGACAACTGGCATTATCAGCAACAGTAAATGATAACAATTCTATAAACGTGGAACCTCAGAAATTCATGCGCAGTAGCATTCCAGTAAAAAAGAAAAATCGAGATGGCATTCCAGTGACAAAACTAACATGGGATACTTCCCTGAGCCGTCTTGCTACTCTAGGTATATAAGCAAGCTCTGGATTGCATAATTTTCGTTTCCTTTAAATTATCAAAATTCGACTATTGCTTTCTCTCCACTGTGGGTGTACTGTACTAAATCAACTGCATTTAATACTCGAAAAATTTTAAACCCTCCTTCCTGCTCTAACCACCTGATCACGGGTATTTACTATTTATATGCCTAAAATTTCAATAACACTTTCGTACCGGATCAGTTTCAAAATAACATCACTGGCGACGCGCACTGGGCGGGCTCATGCGATCATACGCTTTTGCAGTGTTTCGTGCTGTAATAAGATCACTCGAAATCCCGCTAGCTAAAAACCTCTGACATACGGTCCTCGAATTTCGGGAAGTTAATTGTCCACGCTATACTCGGACAGGGAAAATTCCCTTGAAATCTCAGGTTCCCAGCTTTTTCAGTTCCCGAGTTACCCAAATTCTAGCCAGAAAATTTCACGGGGCCGTACGTGGCAACCACGCATAGCCGGAGGCTGAATTTGATAAATTCAAGTTGCAGATGAGTTGGGAACATTTCCTGAAAATCTCAGTCTCACAGCCTCCCCGGTTCCGGAGTTAGCCACTTTCTCGCCACACACACACACACACACACACACACACACACACACACACA